CCGGGGGCCAGGGCGGGGCGGCCCGAGGCCGCGATACACCGACGGGATTTTTCCACGACGTCCGCCCGCCGCTAGGTGACCCCCGTCGTCCACCGATCCAAGTGTCAGCCTGGAAAGAACTGTCGCCCCGGTGGGGGAGGGAGCGTGGCGGCGGGAGCGGGTGTACACCGGGTCGCAGGCCGCCTCCCGGCCCCTTTTGGCGGACCGCATCTCTCTGCCCTGGGCACCCTCCCTGCAACTAGTCGATCGGGGAGCCCGGGGTGGGGGGCGCACGGCAGGGCCAAGCCCCTGCCGAGAGAGGAGAGGGCACCATCGTCCCGTGCTAGACGCCACGGGTGGAAGCACGACCTGCCGAAGAGGGATGGACGGTACAGAGAGGTTCAGGGCGCAGCCCGGGCGCAGCCCCTCACGACGATCTCACAGTCGGAATATCTGTCACGGTGGACCGCAGAGCATGAAGTGGGCGCTCCCGGTAACAGCGCGCGTGCGTGCATGCGTGCGTGCGTGTGAGTGGGGGGGGGGAGAGAGAGAGAGAGAGAGAGAGAAAGAGACAGACAGACAGACAGACAGACACGGGAGAAGACGGTCGGTACATTCACTCACTCCTGTACCCGGGCCAGTCGTTTCTCCCAAAGGACAGAAGTCCATAAAACACCGACCTCTGAAGAGTGTCGACGCGGAGCTAACCCTAGGTCGGATCGGTCAGGAGTCTAGTGAGGTGAATCGTACGGTCCCAAACTGGGACTCCAGTCACAGCCCCGTGACGAAAGAGGTCATTTCTCGGAAAACACACGCACACGGAAACGGGTGACAGTCATGCAATTTTATACCGCGGCAGTGACTTTTTTCTCCCCCGGTGTTCTCACGATCGGTCTCGCTAAATAGTATTTTCCGGGGAAGGGGGGAGGGCTTCATTTTATTTCATTTGAATGTAATTCTGTTAGAGGTGGCGGGGCGGGGCGGGGGGGGGCGTCGGATGTGGCGGGATAGTGCACTCACTGGAAGCCTCAAACTCCTGGGCTCGAGCGATCCTCCTACCTCAGGCTCCCCAAGCAGCCGGGCGTACAGGCGTGTGCCACCACGCCCGGCTCATTTTTTCTATT